GGTCGGGAGCCCCCACGAGTCAGGGAACCCCGCTGAGGGGTGTTGAGAGGGGAACGGGGGAAGAGGAAGCGCCGGGAAGCGGTGGGTGAGTTATCACTGCTGGTGGTTTCCGGAGCACTGCTGTCAATAGCTGCCATACCGACTGAGTGTCTGTTCAGTTTTCTGGGATCGCGCAGAGTTGCACAACGGAAGCGTTCGGCCCAGGCCTGTGGAGACGAGGTGAGAGAGAAAAAACACTTGTGCACCACTAGCTTCGTCTACAGAGTTGTACAATTCAGATGCCAGTTGGCTAAGCCCGCAGTCAGCGGTAATGCCCTCAAAAAGGATGACATAACTCATGAGCAAAATAATAATTACGTGAAAAGGCAACTTTTAATGAAAAGGATCAATCAAAAACACTTTTCGCAGCTGCAAAGCACAGTTAATCAAAAAGATTTAGCGTTTTGATTACAAGCTATGTCAATGCCATTGCTGGCGTCTGAAGGTCGCTTCTGATCTGCTTGTAACTCCAGTGACTTGAGAGGACACATGCCGGAGCCAGAGACGTTATTGGTGTAGGGTAGCGTTAAAATACGTGTCCTGGAATGTTGTAAGCTAAGGAGATAACGCGTTATGCCCTCAGAACTAAAAGGTTCCGTTTGTGTCCTGTACGACTTTTCTCGCGGCCCTTGTGACCAATCCCACTTCAAGCCGGCTTCCTTCGGATGTACCAATGAGGTGGTGAAGAAGAAAAGAGCAGTGAGGCTGATCGATCTCGATACTAATGCCTGACTTATCTCTCTATAAACATCCGAGCGCACAGTTTCACCATCAGTTGATTTAAGGGATTGGCATCGAACTCAGCGCTTAGAAGGCAGACTGCAATGACTCCTTCCTAAGGTGACCTTAAAGGTTCCCTGGCTCAAATGAAATCCTAGGGTCTCGGAGTGACGCCTTGATCAGATCAAATGTGCCAGTCACCGACTCAATGCACACACTTCCGCTAGCCAGGACTTTACAAGCAAAAATGCGAGTCCCAGCAAGTAATAGAGAAGACGCCTAAGTGGTATTTGACACGGGGATTTTATTCGCCTGGTGTTTCGAAATCCTTCGCGGATTCATCATCAGAGACAATAGTAGAGTCAGCCGTCAAATAATAAGCACACAAGCGGACAATTATCCTCGCGATAGGGGTGGCCGTTAATTTTTATAACTGTGCAGTAGTATAGTGGCTGTATCCTCTATAAGTACGGCAACTCCCTGCAAATTCTGCTATCTTCTCTGATGATGGGTCCGCAAAAGACTTCGAAACGCCAGGCTAATAGAACAGCTGTCCCAGTGATCACATCCGCTTTATCCCAGGTATGACTTTGTTCTGTCACGAAAAGTGGTAGTTGTGGAAGGAGAAAGCGAGACAGCTGGCATCCGATCGCATTTCAACATGACCGACTCAACACACACCTCCGCTAGTCATGGCATTACAGGCGAAAATGCGAATCCCCAGAAGCAAGAGAAAAGAAGCAGACGTGATCGCTGGATCCATCATCACAGAGACAATAGTAAAAACAGTCGTCAAGCGATTAGCGCACAAGCGGGCAATTATCCCCGATAGGGGGGGTGTTAATTGTGCAATAACATAGTGCCTGAGTCCTATAAATGCTGCAAGGCCCTGCGTATTAATAATCCTTTTCTGCTGTCTTCTCTGATGATGAATTCGCGAAGGATTTTGAAACTATGAAAATTGTCCCAGTGATAACATCTGCTTTTTTTCAGGCACGACTTTGTTCTCGTTGATGAACGTTCAACTGACGGCTAACAGAACTCATGAGTCCCGCTCTGCCTGGGGCCACGACAGAGGCCCTGACAATCGTAACAGCTGGTTGTAAGCTGATGGTATTGCTGGCAAAGACAAAGGAGACTGGAATGGCCATTTCTGGCTTATTAGCCATCATCAGCCAGTCATGCCAGACCCAAGTGGCGTCCCACTCGAGCCTCGAACTGGCGATCTCTTTGATCAGAACCCTAACCATTGAAGCACGAGCTCGTTGTCTCGCTGGTCTAGTTCAGGGTGTATTGACACTCGTTGATGAACGTTCACCCGACCACTAACGGAATTCATCTGTCCCGCTCTGTCTTGGGTTTCAACAGAGGTCCTGAATGCGTCCGCGCGAAATCCTCGCCATCAGCGGGATAAGGTAAGGTGAACAGCATCTGACTATCAACATGAACTGACCTTGGTGTCCGAGACGGTATCCGTGTCCTCGCTTCCCGATGCGGGCTCGTCCGTCGTCTTACAGCGGCCAGCAGTCTTCACCTGGTCCAGCGTTTCGTCAGAAAATGCTGTGGGTCGCGGCGGCGCTAGATGGTTCCCTGTGGGGTCGCATGTCACGTCCGAACCACTTTGGGGCGCAGGCATGGATCCAATCCCGGTCGTTGAGTCTAAAAGATAACGGGCAAGAAGAGTCCGTTAACTGTCCCGCGAACATATTAAATAACTTGATCTGGCAAAGTGCATGGCCAGGGAAGCCGAAATTGCGGCATTTACCACGAAGACAGCGGCAAGAACGACCGGATAAAAAATCCGGGAACTTGGCACTCCGTTTTTGGCGTCACTGCCATCCTTTTTTTGTCCACGTAAAATTGACAAAAGGCAATAAGCGAGACAACTGTAGTGGTGATGCATATCTGAGCAACCTACAGAGTGCCAGCCAGCCAGCTAGTTGACAAAACAAAACAAAAAGCGTTTTCTAACAAAAAGGCTTAACTGGTACGTCAACAAAAAAGTCCAAGTAGGGCAAAAGACAAATTGCAATCCAATCCTGACGCCTTTGTAAGAACAGCGACTATAGTATTGAAGATATGACGGCAATGCGCAAGCCTAGACGGTATAGGCTGAATACGGCAGAAACCACAAACGGTAACCGAAATCCCTTAACCGGCACTTGAAGCACAACGGCGAAACGCCTTGATTCGACAGAGAGTTCCCCAGCGGGTACAAACTCACGAACCACTCGCCTGATAGGTATAGGGCCGCAAAGCCCGACACCCCGGAGCCTGCTTGTCGCACCTGAGGCGCTTGCTGACAGGTCAATCATATCAGAGAAGCAGAAGGACCACGTTGCTTGCGTATAACTGACAATGCGTTTCTTATATTCATCCTCCATCGTTTGAATTGCTTTTTCACGGTTTGTCGGTCAACTACCTATCCGAACTCGGGTCAAGGTGAGAAGTGCAAATAAGTAGTTCGTGCTGGCAGCTGTAGTATTATGCAACGTGTCCTGCAATCTCAAACCAATAAGCACTTTCTTCTGTCCTTGTGGTCGACTTCAGGGAAAAGATTGAATGGTGAGTTGCCACGTCTGCTACTGTACATCGTCACTCTGCCACTGAAGATCTGAACCTTGGGGGAGTGCTCAGACTAGATATCAGCGTAGCCAAGGGAAAAGGGTTTACCACGCAGACCTAGTCTGGTTTTGCGAAATCAAACTTTGCGGCCCGTTTAAATTGTGTGCTGTTATTTAGTCAGACCTTCACAAGCCTCAATCTGCGGCCTCATTTGACACATGCAGTCAGCCCTTAGTACTGCCCGCCCCTTTTTTGTCAGCTAGAAGGTAAACCTGTACACGAAGCTTTTCGTTTCCTATTCGTTCACCCCTTATTCTATAGCCTCTATGGGTAAACTTTGGGCGTAGAGCCCTTACCGTCCCGAG